TATTATTATTATTATTATTATTATTATTATTATTATTATGGTTATTATAATCATTATTAAAGTTATTGTTGCCGTTATTTCAGCATTGTATAATCGGTGTTTTTGCACTAATCTGCAGCATAGTTGCCGGTATCATTTATGCATATGCAATTCGAGTTTGCCTTATGTATACCTATAGTACTTGTAACATTTATGCTTATTCAACACCACTCACTGTTGCCACGGTAAATACCTATTCTTTTTATTTTTCTCCTTCGTCTTCCTTCCTATTACACTATGCATCTATAATTTTTTGTACTTTGTAGCCTTGTAAAAAAAAAAAAAAGAACAACATAAATAGAATTAAAAAAAAATTTTTTTTGAAGCCATAAAAAAATTGAATAACAGTTAGAAAGTTTACACAGTGATAGGCATTTTCAAATATTCGATGATACACCAGTTTCGTGTAGTGTTAAAATAGCTGCTTCGATTTCCTCATTATTACTTCCTTTCTTCTTTCTTTTCTCCTTTTTTTTTTTTCTGGTAAGAAAGGAGAATAAAAAAATTTAACAATAATAGTAGAATAATAGACAAAAGCGGAAAAAAAAATTACAAAACAATTTGACTAGTAATCTTACACACAACAATGGAAAAACCGTTATCCCTAAACCATTACTTACAACAGGTATTTTTGACATCCAAAATAACCACCATTTCGGATACAGTCACTACTGCAAACCGTTTAAAAGAATAAAAACATTACCAAATTACTCGTGGGTGGCGAACAGGAGACGAAAGATTAAATGATACCAAAATAGTAAGAAAAAAAAAAAATAAGGGGCAATAGTTTCACTAAATTATATTTCAAATCGATATTTTCGTTTTGGTCAGAAACCAATCATACAGAATCTTTATTCACTGCTGACAACAACAGTATCAATTGTACCCGTTTATCTGTTGATAATTAATCGTGGTAAATCTTTTTCCAACCATATGTAAACTACCGCAATTTTTCTATTCCTAAAAAAACACGTACTGCATTCACCTATTTTAACTGATATTATTTCAACAACATTATTATTACCATTATTATCAGTTTTTTTTTTTTGCGTAATATCACTCTATCGTAATCACTTTTTCTTTTCAGCCCACATTTACAGTCCTAAATGTAAAAAAAATTATTCTTTAAACTGTGCATAGTAAAGGTTATCTTCAATTTTCCAACAAAATGAGCTTTTTTGAACAATCGCGTATATTCATCTAATAGTTATTATTACTAAAAACTAAAAAAAAAAAAATAATAATGCTAATCAGTAGTTGCCTTAATTTTTGCCCATCTAAAAAATGAAAAAATTTAACAAGATAAATTAATCTGCCTTTCAGTAGAATTTTATCGCAAATGTACCTTTAAAAAAAAAAAAAAAAAAAGCCCATTCCACGTATTTTAAACACTTCAAGCAGAACGCTTACAGTGAAGCCCCAAATAAGATGCTTTTATAACTTAACTGCTAAATCTAACTAAATGTAATCTATCCAATACACTGCAACAGACGATGACTTCCAAAAAAAATTCCAATGTATAACAGCAAATTTTTTCTGTGACTGATTTTTCAATATTCCAGTTTATTTTCATCACAAAAACTATTTGCAGATTTTCACATTTATTTGCGCACTAATCTGTTTATGTGATTTCGGTTTCGCTTTGCTTCTTGAACTCCGGCAAACAAAAACGAACCAAGCAGAAACTTCTAATGAAACTGCATCAGACCCAGAAATCGTACGACGTGACAGCGACTCTTCGCACTACGGACATCGAAGACTTTCAGATATTCACATAGCCCATATTGTTTATCAAGCACCAATGCAAACTGAAATATGAACCTCCAGACCAGTATATGCAATACAATCGACGATCAGCCAAATACCATTCAGCCAAAACTAGATAAAAAAAAACCACGGCATAAGGATTAGCCTCCACTGTTCGCCGAAACAAACTTGAAGAGACCCTCTAATAGAGTCTGAAAGAAATAATACTTCCTGTGCCACTCAATGCTTATCCAGCCACGTTCAAACCTGTAGATATCGACACCCTCATAATAAATATTATAAAAACAGTTTGCAAACAAGCATCATTCAATACTCCCAATACTTCATCTATCCTGCAAACCAACTTTGGCCACAAATCATTGCTAAAAACCAATCGAATTATTGGCATAAAGTCACACCCACACGAATAAAGCCAAAATTCAAAAGCGTGACCCACAAAACTGAAACTAACACCCACGTCTCTCTCTACAATACACAAAGTGCTAAAAAAAACTAGCACATCACCGTTGAGCCGTGCTTTTCAGAAAACATCCTCCAAGAAACACGGCATATTGAATAATGGCTGTACCAGCACCAGCAAAAAGTTTCAGCCATCAGAATAAAACAACTTTATTCAAGGTAAACAAAAATAGAACGATTAATATACAAATTACAAACTCGAAATGAGTACACAACAATGCGTCTCCTGTTTGTAGCTTTGACTAAAACGTACTTAGTTAACTCTCTATTCAAGTAATAATCACGACACAAATATAATTTCCAACTCTTAGTAAAAATGTGAAAGACCGAACCATCCAATCCTAGTAGTTTTACCAAAAAGAAATCCTTAACAAATCAAATTAGACAGGAAAACGAAGAATAAAAAAACTTTGAAATTACAACAAAGTACTTTACTTTTTCCTAAAGCACTACAAAAAAATTAAAAATGAAAAGAGCAAAATGCAAAATACAGATTCTAACAGCTTTAATAAAGAAATTTTAGAGCCGCACATGGTAAAATAAATGGAAAAAACGATCACAGATCGTCAAAAAATAACACAGAGCACTTATGTCACTCAGAAGACCCTGTTAAAGCGCACTGCTGATTTCAAACTAAAATCTAAGTAAAAAATCTGAGAGTGGAGAAAGGGTGAAAACGCTAACTTTGTTCAAAAGTATTCATGCTGCAACGTTCCACAGAAAACACAGTATATGCCAATACAAGAACTTCTGTAATGTGAAAGCAAGAAAAGCAAGTTAAGGTCTCTGAATGACTCTAGACTAGATGAATGAATAATCACTAAATAATTCTTTTCTATTTCACCTGGCATAAATGACATTGTGAGAGCTCCACGAAACTTTGTTTCATTTAATAAGGATCACAAATTTAGAAAAAAATAATAGGAAAATTCAGATCCACGAAACGGCTTTCGAATGAAAGGCTGGATGCACTAATGGCACAACAAATCACTTACATTATGCACTAACGAATGCTTGTTAAGAGATTAAGTTTCGACCTCGTTATTTTCTGCTGTCCATTCTTGCTAAATACGTGCCAAAACCGAAGGGTTTCATCACCTGCCCCAGTAACAATCGATTCACCATCAGGTGACATTGCCTAAAAAATAATTTAAATTCCTTAAACCAGTGCTGAACACCGTTGAAGGCAAAAATGTAACAGTAAGTAGAGAAATAAAAAGGTTAAAGGTCGTAAAACAAATAAACTACTACATAACAAATAATAGCGAAAAACTGATTTACTTACCAAATAAAGAACTCGATACTGATGACCCGTTAATTTTGTTACAGGCTGGAGAGACGGATACTTCCAAATAATCACTTGATTATACGAATAACCATGAGTAGAAACTAATTCAAGGCTATGCTTAGACCACGCCACATTGCAGACCTAAGAAATAGAAAGTTTCATAAAGCTGTCCGTCACTTATGGGACTGCTGCCAACAGAAAAATTACTCAGAAAAATGAAAATCACTACAGCTGGTGTCATCTGAAACTGAAAGAAAGAAACACGAACTTTGAATCCGGAATTACAGAGGAGCTGACGTATAAAAATTCACAAACCTGACTGCCAGTGTCAATACACTGTAACGGTTGCCCCGTCAGGGTGTTCCAGAAGCGTAAACAACGGTCTGCAGTCCCACCACCAGAAACCAAAAGGCCATGCTGATGTGGAGACCAAGCCAAAGCCTTCACTGCGGCATTGTGCTCCTTGTACATCTAAAATACAATTGGTCACGCGGAACATTAAAAGTGACTGAAAGCTCATACAAAAAGAAGTGAATTCTTAAAATTTCAGCAATTTTATGCTTAGTACCTGGAAGGGTTCGTTCTTCCTCAGACTCCAAACTAAAAGCTGGTTATCATTCCCACCAGATGCTAGAAACTGTCGGTCAGGAGACCACTTCAGACCACACACCTTAAAAAACCCCATTTAAGAAAAATATTAGCAAGATAAAAAAGGTTTAAAGTAATTTAAAAATTCATGCCTCTTGTCTATGTGCACTTAACCGCCTTTCTGTACCGGAGGGTTGCCGTATGTCACGCTGAAATATTGTACGATCCCTAGACCCAGAACAAATGACATCCGCATTCCACGCTAAGCAACCTATTCGAGCACTATGTCCGGAAAGGTCATGCATCTAAAAGTATTTGTTAATACATTCTGAAGGGTAAGCCTCTCTAATAATGTTTATAAACTGTAGAGACCGATAAGAACTGTACCTTCTTTTGCGTGTGTATATCCCAAATCTGAGTATTTCCTTTATTTGTTCCCACAGCTAGTAACTCACCCTTATCAGCCCACTGTACAGAAGTAACTGTATCCCCCTCAGCAGCTAAGTCACAAAGTTTAATAACCTGAAGTTACAATAAACGAATTTCAGAAAAATTAAAGCACAACAATACAAAAAATGAAAAAAAACAGCTCCTTTCATCAATTCTAGCCTCAAGAAATACCTGACTGTTACAAGCACTCCATAAATAAACACATGTACTCAACCCAACAGAAAGCATATTTTGCGAGGACCAATCCACTAAATTCAAATAAAAATCATCCTGAAGTTCAGGGGCATCCAAAACCTAAACGTCAAGCAGTTAAAGTTCGAGAATTGACAATAAAGCATTGAACAAAAACAATCTTGGAAACAACAATATAATCTAAAGAGTGCAGTCTCGGTAATACTAAACAAATGTTCATTCTACCGTCCCAAAACCTTCGAAGAACAACGTTAAGGCCTTTGAACCAAGTTGTTCTAGAACAGGGAGGAAAAGCGAAACATTTGAAAGTGTTAAGCTAGCGGTAAACATCCTATGAAATTTTCTTTATAAAAATTTTATTTCTCGAGCGCAAAAGTTACCTTGTAAGGATTCTTTGGTACTTTCCTCTGGGGTTTCCTGGGAGACTTTAATAATCTTTGACTATCCTCACTAAGAGGACCTCTAAACAAGGCCCGCCGGGCATGGCTACTAGTTGATGCGTCACCGTACTTCGTTGGAGTTTTTTGGCCAAATTTGAATAGCCCTTTCGCTGGACTATATTTACTTCGCACAGTGTCACAACTATCAAGTTCTTTCTGCACCACCTTAACAAAAAATCTCATTGAAATAATAAAAAAATAAGAAGAAAATTCATAGAAGTGGCATATAAAACTTGAAAAGACAACTGGAAGAACTGCTTACACGTATATCGTCAATCGTATCATGCAAAAGTTCATTGCTAAGTAAGGCACGATGAGCTGCAGAATCAACTCGTGTATCTTCAAGAACAGGGACCGCATTACCAGAGGTGGTGGAGACTGGGCTGGAATTTGCTACTGCAGAACTATTGCTGTTCGACGGAGACGAACGTTCAGAATTTACGGCTGGCCGCTTAAATTGGTTTGGAGCTTCTGGAGACGACTGAGCCACAGGTGCTAATGATGCAAACCTAAAAAACCGAACATGCTTGTAAAGAACCTTTAAAAACCAGCCAAAACTATATATTGAAAATGTTAGATAACTGTAAACTATAATACGATAAATTGCCAAATTGGTTTAGTAAGCGAAGAAAAAGTTTTGCGGCGCAGAAAAATGGAGACAATCCCCTGTAGTTCATTTTAAGATTATCCACGCATCATTAGTTTCTATAGAGAAAGATTCATAGCTTCTCGAGTATAATCATTACTAACAGGGAGTTACCACTTATTATGATAAAAAGTTCATTCTGAGCAATTTCAAAGTTACTTAATTTAAACTAAAAGATATAAAGTAAGAGAATAATAAGTTATAAAAAACATACTTCGTCTCCCACTCTACATTACTAGCCGGTCTCAGTGGAATATAACGGTCCCCACCATCAGCTCGAAACTTCGTTGGGGTAACTCGAGGCGAATTAGCCTTCAAAATTAAAGAAAAAGTCAACAGAAATGTCGCATTACGTGTAATTTATGCTAATTGCCCAAGGAGCTACATTATAAAAAAAAATAATATGATACTTTCATTTGCAAAAACTAAAAAACAAGGGACTCACTGGAGAAAAAACTTTTTGCGGAGAGCTCGTGCCATTATGTTGCATCAGAAAACGCCTTTCATAATCTGATGCAGGGTGCATATCTTTCTTTCCTTCACACCTTTTGTACACACTGAAAAAGAAACGGATTACAATTTTCGAATAGCAAACCATGTGTAAATTCGACGGGTCGCGCTTAAAAGTCTAAGATTTCGACTTAAGAAAAAAACATTAAGACCGCTTATTGTTAAACACACATAGCATGAAGAATCTACACAAAGCAAACACTTCTGGTATAGTAAGTTACAAAAAATACCTACAGAAAATAAAACCCTTATAACCAATAATTTCCCGAAGAACAATCACCGTGTTTTTAAACAAACAAGTAAGTTACCCGGATCTAAAAATACAAACAAAGCCTCTGCATCAGACAGCGAAAGAGCGAAAATATAACCGACTACTCAAACATACACATGGTATTTTAAACCAGTTCGCTCTTCACCCCCCATATCCACCAAGAAAATAAAACAAAGAGAGCAAAACAAAGAAAAAATAAAAAAATAAAACTTCAACCCACAACAGTATTAGAATAACGAAGTTACTAAGGTACTGTTATTCAAAACAACAAACAAGACAACGTACCCTTGCACTCTTGTGCGCGTGATTCGCACTCACAGTTTTACTGTACATAGTTCTGTTTCTTCCACTTGAAAAGTAAAAAAAATAATAATAATAAAAACCTTCCGAAACATATAAAAATTGAATAAGACGCTGAGTAAGTGTTCAAGGTCTACTGGTCAAATTTTGGAAGACTTAGATAAAATGTTTAATATCACCAGCTACTATCGTGGTATACGAATTCTTTACCCACATATTTAATCTAAACTTTTATTTTTGTCTGAGGGAGAAGGAAGAGTAGCTGCTGTCTCTCCGGACTCTCCTCAAGTACTACGGCTGGACGTTTGAATAAGCACCTACAACTGCAAAAGTTTCCTAAGACAGATAAAAAACAAAAGTAAAAGTAAATTTTGTAAAAAAACAGACTGCTGCAAATGAACAGCAAAAAATTTAAACCATTCAAGGTAACCTCCACGGTACACAAACTACGTTGAAGAAACCGAAGAGCAGAAAGCAAAAAAAACTAGATTCAAAACGGCCTCAGCTTAACAAGAAAAGAATGTGGTTTCAGTACGGTACAGTGGGAGAAAACCACTGTCTGATCAAAAATGCAACTAATTATATCTTTACCACGAGTGCACATTTCTGACACTGAAGAAACAGTAAACCTTCAACAGCGCAAATTATAGCTCGCACAAAAGTTTTTTTTTTTTTTTGATAGAACTCTTTTCCAAGTAAACAGGGAAAACTAAGCTGTTCTTTAAAGATTATATCACACAATATCACTTTTTTGGAGCTAACAGTTGTCTTTATTTATCTTTAAATAATGTAACCCAGGTGACTGCATATGATAAAAGTCTGCTTCAGAAAAGTTAAAAAACTGTGAAAATATTTGAAGCGTAATAGTTGGAAAAAAAAACCCAATTTTCCGACAAGAACACTATGAGATACAATGGTAAATTAAACATACTACTAGAATGTCCTGTCTGAATCAGTCCGATATTGCGAGCAGCAGCAGCAACAACAGCAACAGCATTCATAGTGAACCTCCTCTCTCTCCACCAACCACTGCCAACATTAAACTAAAATATGCGGACAGACAACTATACAAATTATTGAGAGATAACAGTGCCATGACACTGAAAGATTTCGAAAGAGATTAATTCGGGCGAAAAAAAAAAGAGAATGAAGTTTTCTGTTCGCAGAGAGAAGACGAATTACATATAGACATCAATGCACTTCAGATAACTTCCAAACAGTGTTTTCAGATGTTCTGCAGAGTTCACAGGAGGTTAGAGACCACCGAAAAACCCAATCAATCAATGAATCTTCAACCAAGTCTGTTAATTACATGTATTGCATTAAGATACAACTAAACAGCATCAAATTAGGACTTCAGGTACTGACAGCTTACAAACCCCCAACCTTACCCAAATTATTAAACATCTGAACTGTGGCAAAAAAGAAATTGCCTGTCCCAGTTCTATCTCATTCCTAATCAAAACCACATAAAGTAATCCAACGAAGAAATACTAAATTAAGCAATTTTCGTAAATACTCTTTTGAAATAAGCCTTCAAATTTTACTATGCGTCTTGACTTTTACCACTACGAAGAGTTACATGATAAAGAATTCTAAAAAATTCACTGCTAATTTCCAAACTTGTGAGTAACTCCAGCGGAGAGTAAAAAAACGATTGAACAAGCCACTGAAAATCTGAATCAAAAACCGTGGAACATAAAAAT